AAGTCGAAAGCAAACTTTGACTTCTATTCGCGCTCACGGGGGATATTTTGAAATGCGACTTTAGCATGTTGTAGCACATAGTCATAGCTAGCGTGCTTAGAAATTCCATCGTCTTTCGCAGTTGAGAAGTTTCAAATATATTGCTATAAATCGGCGCAAATAATTTTGGGACACCCTGTAATACGCTGTTGTGACTGCTTTAGAAGGTTCAACTTCTTGAAGGAACAGTGTCTTTTCTAATGACAGACTAATCCCATATCTGAGACCATTCTTTCAATAGTCAATAGCCGTTTGGAGGACAGCACAATCTTCCACGAATTGAACTGTTTGGGAATCTTTGTGTCGACTGCATACATCTGGCATTTTACTCTCAGATCTTAGACAGCCTTTGGCACATCGAATGTGTTGTATATGAATCGAAAAGCAAAAGAGAAATCACCTCAGACTGCGAGAACCACTTACTGATCAGTGTCTGGAAGACCAGCGAAAAGTGGTTCCGATTCGCACTTGCTAACGGCGATTTGTTGAGGAGTGGTGGACCGCTGCATAACTTTGGGGTGTATACCAACCAGAAGTCTGCTCACATGTTTATGAAGGGGTGCCTTGTCAAGAGCCTCGGTAAAATTAAAGTATATAACGTGAATATGTTGCTGAAGCTCATAAGTCTTAGCCCGATCATTAAGTGATACGAGCAGTGCCATCTCTGAACGTTCTCCTCGAGAAACTGCTGTTTCGAAGATATAACATTATTTTGCTCAAAATTCTTCGAAAGTATGTTTTCTGGGATTTTTCCAGACTTCTGCGAAAACAGAAGAGTGCTTATGGACAGTCAATTCCTTTAAAGCGTTCTCTTAGGCCTAGGAGTCAGAGAGACATTTTAAGGGTTGGAGCTTCCGATACCATTAGACTGATTGAAGAGTTATTCTAATGAATATGCTACTCCAGGCGAAATTCTCTGGATAAACTTGTAACGATAGAGTTTGGTGGGAACGACTTCGAACTTGGGCATTCGCTCATTATGTCAGCAATATCGCTCTTATAGAACCATACAGTGGATTCCAAATATGGGTAACGTGGTGTGGGGTCCTCAAAAAAAGAAACGTGAGGAGCGAATCATTTTTGAAAATGCTAGAAGTTCAGCTTTATCCCCATTACCGAACAAGGTACTGTCGTTGCCTTCAATCAGAGACAAAATACACATTTTGTCTCTAATACGTGTCCTAATAAACACGAACAGCTTAGAAAAAATCTCAGTGTCTACAATCTTCTTTTCGAAGTGAAGTTGGTACTTGTTGACGCACCTTTCGACTAATACATTATTCGGCTAACGTCTCGGCCAGTCGCTTTCGTCGGAGCCTGGAAGCTAGAAAAAAAGCATTTGGTGTTAATCCTGATCAAACGACGTTTAGGCCACAGCGTAGTTTAGGTTTAACCTATAGATTCTAGAACGGTCTTGTAAAA